TACAAGGGGAGGACTGGTAGTAAGTGGCAGGAGTCAGGCCTTAATTCCCCTGCTGCATATCCCCTCCACCACTTCTATCCCTGCCTGCTTGCCCTGCTGTAGCAGTGTGGGAACAAATTTTAAGATGACCCTCTAAAAATCAGATTCTAGGCTTGGAAAATCATAAAAAAATGTATAATTGTCCCATGTCCAGAATCTAATTATTGGGGCAGGGGGTTGTCCTAAATTCAGAGTCATCTTGGATTCAGGTAAATATGATATTTAGCTGACTTTTTGATTAAACTAAAATATGTTGAGCTCCTCAAGCCCTTCACTATAAATAATAAATTTGTATCCGTCAGTCATCCTTGTGACTCTTCTCTGAACCATTTCCAATTTTTCAGGATCTTTATTTGTGTTTTATACACCAGATTTCCAATGGATTCCTAGAGTGGTCACAGTAGTTCTGGCACCTCCATCTTCCTTAGGGAGGAATGCTAATATGATCCTCTAATTACAGAAAGCCTAATATGATCTCTGAGTGTCAGTATCTCCTTAAGGAGGTATTGACACTCAGGGATCATATTGGCCTTTCTGTAATTACTCATGTAAGGTGGCAAGGTCAAAAAGTGATATGGGCTCCTATAGAACTTACATAGAAAGAGGTAATAGTAGGAAACTGCCATCTTGACTGAAAGCAGAGGGTCAAAATTGGAGGTTGCTATAGATTCTCTTGTTCTCTCTGGATCACACACAGAGAGAGAGAGAGAGAGAGAGAGGTAATACTCATTTAACAAAGAATTCTATTCTACTACAGACACAAGAAGCTCTTTTGGGAGCCCAAGATCGCTGAATTTAGCTGAGCCTCCATATGTGTGTTGTTGCCTTCATCTCTATAGCTGATGGTAGGCATCGAATGTGGGATCATTAGAATTAAAAACCTGAAGCTATTCATCCTGAACTGTTATATCCTCAGGTGATTTGGCACAGGCGCTTGCCACATGACTGAAAGTCTAAGATAGTGCAGTAAGTGTATACAAAATGTGAGTTCAAGTCCTGCCCTGCCACAGGCTTCTGTAACTTGGGGCATATCTCCTCTATGCTTCTTTCCTATCTGGACTGGTACAGAATGACTTCTTTGTCTCCCTCCTTTTTTATCTGTCTGTTAAGCTTAGATGTATTTTGGACTATTTTGACCAGCATACTTGGGACTATTGTGAATTACTATAGCTTGTGTTGAAGGGTGAAGGCTCCCTTATGAGGGCTGTACCAGAGTCTCACCCTCAGTGGACAGGGCAGAGAGAGGCACCTGTAATGCATGCTCAACTTTAGATTAAATTAACTTCACACAGAAGAACCTGTCTCATGCTTGCCATGCCCATGAAGCCTGCCCTTTTCATGAAGCCTGGCATGTCCACAATGCCACCCCATCTTTGGGGCTTCTAGATGCTACTTTAGTACAAATAAGAAGCAATTATACCTAGAAACATAGAAACCCAAGTTTAATTGTTGGCAAGTGAACAGAAATAAATGGCAGAGAAAGAAAAAGTTGGCAACATGTTCATTTTTTTTTTCTGTCTTTAAACCACAAAAATTGCCTTTTCAATAGGCTTAATGAATCCAAGCAGTTGCACAGCATATACAGCATTTCTCAAAATATTTACTGCATATTTAGGAATGGAGACCATACTTGGGATGAGCTAGGTCTGTCTCAGGGATTTGAAAACCTTCTTGCTGTGATCTGTCTTGACAGTTCAGTCAGACTTTGAGCATGGTTCGATCTATATGGTTAGCGTAGAGAATCACCAGCCTGGAGGATATCACTGATAGAAGGGATGATATTTGATGCCTTAATAAACAGTCTGGCCACTGTGAAAGGACATATAAACAGCGGAGAAGTTTTCAGTATAAATATAGGCACAGAAAATAACTTGCAGTTCTTGAAGACTTTTGGATGAATCATGAGCACGTGCTTGTGTGTAGACAGTAAATCAAGTGGAAATAAATTGTGTATAATGCATCACTGTGTAAAGAGAATGACTTGAAGGTAGAAAATTAAAATATGATTGTTAATCTTTGGCTATTTGAGAAACTGTAGTCTTGCTGTAGGAGCAGTTGAGAGGTGCCCTTTACAGGCACCACTCTTAAGAGGCACAGTGCTTTGCTTTCTTTCATTTGACATTAGTATGTAGGGTGAAGACAGATAGCGTTCCATACTTTATGGGCATGCCTGATGGTTATCACCCTGATTTTTATGGGTGTTTAAGGGGGTGTGAGGACTGACACTGGCTTTCCCCTATGAAGTAAGAAGCTTAGGGGAAGGCGCTAATTTTCTTCTCTCTTGTTGGAAGTCACCAAAATCAGCCCTGAAATGAAGCTTTTTCTTCTACTGATGTTTAGCATAGATTATCTCCTTCAGGAAATAGTACTATGTGTGGTTTTGGACAATGTACTTGACTCACCCATATTGCACCATCCTCTCTACAACAGTTATTTAATTGAAGTCTCTCACTCTTGTCATAACCCAAAGGTATGATTTTGTGTGTGCTTTGGCACCAGAATTATCCCCGCCAAATTACAGCTTCATTGCACGGTGGAGTTTTCTGCTGTGGAGGAAGGCTCCGGTGCAGGGATGAGTTTCCCGCCTATTTGCAGCTTCTTTTGCAGGGTGCATTGCTCAAGTTGCAAGAGAAATGCACGGTGCAAAGGAGTTCCTGCCACCCGCATGCAAATTGGTTCCCCGCTATTGGCTAGTTCTAAATTATTCACACGTGGCGGCTAGTGATTGGCTTGCTAGCCGTATAAGAGGCTTGAGCGGTTTCCGCCCAAGCCGAAGAGGACTCCACATCCATCTCGTGGGGACTCTGGGCACACGGCAGGGAAATAAAGACCCCTGTGTGAGATTCAGAGGAGCTTGGTGACCTGATCCATCGCCCACCTCTTCCCGTCTTCGAGCGATAAAAATTATAAGACGTATCTATGAGTCCGATTTTGGTGGCGCGCTCACCCAGAGCATCCGGAGCTCTGTTTCCGCGGAGCCTAGCAAACTCCACGTGACCGTTCGTGTTGTCTTTGTAACCGCAACTCAAGCAAGTTTTCCAGCCTACACCACGACCATCTCTGGTGTAAGTAAACAATCTTTAAAACTACCGCTACGAGTCCGTGACTAATTCTAGCTTGTCGCGCCCCTCCTCTTCGACCCCGCGTGCCCGGGCTGCTGGCCACAGCCCGCGCAGAGCACAAAAAAGGGCCCGGCTCGCGCCCGGCCCGCACAACTCTCCTGTCTGATAGACATTACTTCCTTAACACACCTAGGGACACAGAGGTGCACAATTGCAAAGTGATTTGTCTAGTGTCACATCCCAAATGTAGCAGTAGAAAAAAAATCAAACAGATGCCCTGACTGCAGATTCTGGGCTGTTGTGCCTTGACAGGAATACCTTTCCTTGATGCAGTTCTGCAGAAGAAATGTGCAGGCTTTAGAGGTAGCAACTCTAATATGTTATGCATCGTTCTCTTAGAAGCTATAGAATTGCTATGTTATTCCTGCATTACACAATGATGATACCGAAGTAGCTCTGAAATGCATTTAGTTAATATGACAGATAACTATAGTGTTTCTCCATATACACATGGCCACATACCAAATCAGCCTAGAATAGGCAGTTGAAAATGTAAAGTTTTAGTTTCTGCTGTCATACAGCTCCCCCACACCTGCACGTGCATTTCCCTCTGCTATGTGAAAAGACAAGTCATGTAATTCAAAACATTGTGAAGATGACATGACATCTGCTTAAAATCAGGAAAGCCAACCATTGGGATCAGTACATTAGCATATTTGCAGCCTTTTTTTCTCCCTTGGTAGCCTACCTGGAAACTGTTGCTTTGTCTATATTCCATTTGATAGAATCTTCACCAAGCTTATAGGGTCACTTCAAAGCACCTGACAAATCAAATCAGATACTTGAGATTAGGTCTTTTTTAGGCCACATAAACCATAATCAGTGCAACAGGCCTGAGAATCAGATTCCTTTCTACTACCCACTTTTCTGCAGAAGAATAACTTCTCATCCCCATTTTTGCTCAGTACAGTTAAGTACACATAGTCAAAAAGCCTGACGCTGTATTGATTCAGTCTTTGGAAGTTACTCTAAAATGGAGAGATTAAATTGAAATAGAAGTGAACAGACTGTGAAGAAGGACTGGTTATAAATAAGGTCCAGAGAACAGAAAAAGAGATCACACTGGGAGAACGCCAATTTTGCAGTAGCTATTCCTTGAAGAGGAACAGGGGAGGTGGTTCTCACCCCTACCTTGGGCAAATTCAAGAGGAGGTTGGACGATCACCTGTCTGGGGTCTTGTGAACCCAGCATTCATTCCTGCCTGTGGCAGGGGGTCAGGCTAGATGTTCTGTTCAGGTCCCTCCTGACCCTAGCTACTATGAAACTATGAAGATAAAGAGACCCAGAGGGGCGCGGCATGGCGTGAGGGAGGAGAGAGAATGGAGCGAGGGTTCAGAGGAAGAGAAGCCGTGGAGGAAAGATCAAAATGAGGAAATCCCGGGAGCCAGTTCTGCTTGAGAGAGAGGACATAGCCAGAAGACAGAATCTGGAATCCCTGAAGAAATAAGCTGACTCTTGAATCACTCGGAGGAGTGGAGTAATGAAAGCAGAAACTGCAAGAAAGGAGGCGCAGCAGATGCTCGTCAGTTTTCACAAAGGTCAAGTTCATTCTTATCCTGTTTTGTTTTCTTGTTTTTGTTTAAATTTAATTGGGGCTGATTGTGCTGGGTGTGTCGGTGAGAGGAAGAGTCCAAGTCCTGGCTACTCTCACACCCATACAAGAAAGAAACGGGGGATAATATCTTCCCATGAAACGAAAAAGGGGAAGAAAGAAAGAGACTGAAAGCAGTACCCTTGGTCAAGTAAAAAAATAAATAAATATAAGTAGTTCTGAAGTTGACTTTACCTAGTTGTGTACATGTTGTTTAGATGTTGAATAAATGCAACGAGGTGTTTTTGAATGTAAAAACAAAAGTATGTAAAACAGTTTGAAAGAGTCATGAACTATGGATGTTAACTGATAGGGGCTGTAAGAAAAAAAATTAATAATAAAGAGAACTGATGAGCCATATACGAATTAGATTCAATTGATGATTAAAATCTTGGGTGTTGTCTGAGGGAGCCAGAAGAGAGGGGTAACGCAGGCAAAAATCTAGTCAGATTGCCAGTGTCCTACTGCATCAGTAACACCTCCCAACTCATAACATAAAAATATATCAAGACGTGGCAGATGAGTCAGAGTTCACAAATCTGGCAATCAAGGCAATAAGAGCAAAAGTCAGACCCTCAAGTATCAAGGGAATACCCCACACAGACAGGAAATGCAGCCACATGCCTGCAGTGGGGTGCTAAAGTATGGCTCTCTGAAACATAACCAGAATGGGCTGTGTTCACTTCCACTTCCTGCTGCCCCTGAGTTCTCTGGAATTTGCAGTCCAAAATCATAGCAACAGGACTCTGAAGGGTTGCTTATCACTTCATCTTCCTGCTTCCAGGTGCCTCTGGGATTTGTAGTCCACAGTCGCAGCCAGCAGTAAGTTTGAGGGGGGGAAGGGGTGTTTAACCCCCCCCTCCCCCTGCCAAGCCCCAGACCCCCCACCAGGGAGGGGGAGAAGTCCGTCCCCCCCCGCAGACTGGTCTGCATCCCCAGCCAGGTTTGCCCCCAACCCTACCGCACCCCCTTGTCAGCTATCCCTCACTGCTCCAGCTAGGGAGCAGAGGGGTGGAGCAGGGCAACCCTGCTTTCTGGAGCAGACAGCCCAGCTCAGGGCTGGAAAGCATGCTGGGGCGCTGTGATTTAAGCAGGAAGGCATCTGGGACAGAAGTTTCATAAACTGGTTTGACCCAAATCAGTTAAGTCTGATACTACATTCAACCAGGTTTATTTTAAACCAGTTTCAGCCATTTTGAAACTGGTTTATGTGCACTGAGCTTGTATTCTGTTTAAATCTACAGATTTAAACCAGTTTCTGATGACTTAAACTAGTTTATGTGTAATTTCTGTCCATAGCCTAGGTGATGAATTACCTCCTTCCTCAGTTTAAACTGCTGTGTTTAAAATTTGTCGATACAACTGACCCATTTGTATTGGAGTAAATACTGTAAATAGCCTTGAAGATTCCCTGTTGCCCCAGTTCATCAAAGCAATTATGCATGTTTGAATGTGCAGTTATGCACATTTGATTGTGTGATTTTTCTGAATTACATTATCAAACATGTGAGCTGGATGGATTAAACACTAGCTTTACTTGGAAACACATGAGAAATCCCCACTCTTCCTGGGAAGCAAGATTTTTGAGGAAAGGCTGAAATATAACCAGGGTTATTTAGACAGAAGACTTCAGGGAGATAACATACTTCAATATTTGAAGGGTGATCGTGGAGAGGATTGAGATGGGCTCTTGTGTGTGTTTATAGGGGACAGGACTAGTAGCAATGGCCTCAAGCTGCAACAGGGTAAATTTATGTTGGAGATTAGGAGGAACTTTCTGACTATGACGGTGGTCAAGCATTGGGACAGGCTACCTAGACAAGTTATGGAATTTCCATCCTTGAAAATTTTCCGTATCAGGTTGGACAGACCCTTGGCTGGGGTGGTTTAGTCAGCAATTAGCCTGCCTTGAGCAGGGGGATGGAGTAGATGACCTTGTGAGGTCCCTTCCAGCCCTATGATCCTATTTAGTCCCTTTTAATTTCACTGAAGCAATTAGAACTTTAATTCTTTTTTGATAGGCAGAGAACTTCATTTTATCTGAATGCAATCTGAAACATTCCCATGTAATGAAATTTGGCTGTTTATCCTTGGGTTTCAATCAACATGTAATTTTTTTGTATCCCTTTACTTTGAGGCTCTGTTAGAAAAATGTCAAGAGTTAACAAGCATTTTAGGGGTATGTAGTAATTAATTGATTAAATCATTGCTGATAGCTGTCACACTAACTTGGAGGGCAACAGAAGTTATAAATATAAGATTTTGATTACTTTCTTACATACACAGCAAAAAAATGAAATAGGAGTGTACTGCACATACTTTTTGAGCCTGCAAAATAAGACCAGGACAGACAGCAAATCAAACCCAGCTCTCCAGGCTGCTGACCCAGAAAATCCTATGTTTTTTTCTGATGAGGCTCTATACATCACCTTGCAGGCTGCCCTGGTGTTGACTGTCTGAAATCTGTTTCATCCCGTCTTTGTATGTACTTGCTCCCACTTCCCTGACTCCTCTGTCTCCAATTCTTTTGTCATTCCTCTACCTTTTTTCTTTGATTTGCTCACCCACCATAATAATCTATTGTTTCTACTGAGGAAACTTCAGCTCCCTTGCTTCTCAGTTCATCACAAGGAGAGAAGCCAGGTATTGAAGCTCCCCAGATCACACAACTCCTGTAAAACTCCAGGGAAGCTCCAGCTATCGGTCAGCAGCAGCTGCAGCTTGTCTGTTGAAGTCAGGTTAGTAAGGAAAACGGATGTAGAAAGCAGATCTATACTGCCTCTGAGTCAAGGCAGAGTGTTCCTGCTTATCATGAACAAACCTCAGAAATGAAGCTGGTTAGGTATTTTAGGTATTTTAGCACAGTCCTGAGGTACATGCCAAATGCCACACTCAGGGTCTCTTTATTGGGTATTCTTGGCACATACTTCGAGTCTCTCTAAGCCATCAACACAGTCACAGACTTCAGTCCTGACTGCATGCCAAATACCATGTTCAGGCTCTCTCTCTCTCTCTCGGGTATTCTTGGCATGTTCTTGGGGTCGTTCTAAGCTGGCAACACAGCTTATTTTCCAGACTCCAGTGCAGGCTGAGTAGCTTTGAGCATCAAGGACAATAAAAAGTCCTTTTTCAGATATGTGGGGAGCCGGAGGAAAAGCAGGGGCAACATTGGACCCCTGCTGATCTTCCAGCCTTGCAATCTATGAATCTATTCCTCCCAGCTTGGTGTCATCTGCAAACTTGCTGAGGGTGCACTACATCCCATCTTCCAGGTGATTGATGAAGATATTGATAAAAACTGGACCCAGGACCAATCTCTGGGGCACTCCACTCAAGACCATCTGCCAACTAGACATAGAGCCATTGATCTATACCCTCATATATATAGAGGGTATAGATCTAGATACCCTCTAGAGGGTATAGATATAGAGGGTATAGATATAGAGGGATATCATATACCCTCTGAGCCTAACATCCAGCCAGTTTCCTATCCACCTTATAGTCCGTTCATCCAAATAGAGGCAGAAGACAGAAGAGAAATCAAATAAGCTCCACATTCAAAATGGAGTCTGCAGTCTGCCCCAGATACACAGGGAGAGCCCCCAGGATCAAACTGAATCTATGAAAGGTATATAGGACTCTTTAAATCATTGTTTTCATTGTAAACTCATGCACACACATGCATGCACAGAATGAAAAAGTAAAATTTTTAAAAAGCTCCTTTGTGATCTATGAGCCAAAGTCCCGTATTTAAAATGTAAGCTCTTTAGTCTTCTAAGTCCCATAGCAAGTCAAGAGAACTTTACCCTAAAGCCCTAGCCCTAACCACTGTGGTTAAGATCATGCTGTGAATTTCCTCTTAAAGTGAAGAATTCTTCTCTAATTTTCAAATATGGTTCTCATTCTGTTCATATGCAAGGACCTTGCTAGCAATAATCCATGTTCCTATATGATAATTCTAGCATAGTTTCAATTAAAGAGTTAAAAATGCCTAAATTCAACCAAACACTTTCTTACCTGGGCTAGAGAAAAGTGTATCATTGTTTGTCTATGCCCATGTTATTGATATCAAATTGTATCAAAACAGTAAAATCCATTAATTAACCTTCTAGATAGATTACAACAAAGCTACTTGATCATTCAGCTATTTTAAATTTGATGCTTTTGGCTACTCTAAATCTTTTAGGAAGCTTGCATCCATAGATGCTTCTCAAGCAAATCCCGGGACGTCATTCTCCCCCTGTACTCGGCCTTAGTGAGGCCACAGCTGGAGTACTGTGTCCAGTTTTGGGCTCCACAATTCAAAAAGGATGTGGAGAAGCTTGAGAGAGTCCAGAGAAGAGCCACGCGCATGATCAGAGGTCAGGGAAGCAGACCCTACGATGACAGGCTGAGAGCCCTGGGGCTCTTTAGCCTGAAAAAGCGCAGGCTCAGGGGTGATCTGATGGCCACCTACAAGTTTATCAGAGGTGACCACCAGCATCTGGGAGAACGTTTGTTCACCAGAGCGCCCCAAGGGATGACAAGGTCGAATGGTCACAAACTACTTCAAGATCGTTTCAGGCTAGACATAAGGAAGAATTTCTTTACTGTCCAAGCCCCCAAGGTCTGGAACAGCCTGCCACCGGAGGTGGTTCAAGCGCCTTCATTGAACACCTTCAAGATGAAACTGGATGCTTATCTTGCTGGGATCCTATGACCCCAGCTGACTTCCTGCCCTTTGGGCGGGGGGCTGGACTCGATGATCTTCCGAGGTCCCTTCCAGCCCTGATGTCTATGAAATCTATGAAGTGAGAGAGCTGGATGTGCTTCTCAGCAGTACCCCGTGGGTCACCAAGGAGAAGGTATGAATATGCCCCTCTTCCTGAATGCCTATTTCAAGTAGCTTCTGCTGGGTTTTGAGTTCACTTCCTCCATTTTTTCTGTTTTTGTTGTTGTTTTTTGTTT